CAATTTTAATTTCAATAATTAATTTATTTAATCAAATGATGCAAAATATGTTATAATTGTATTAAAAATATATAATTAATAATTGATTCAATGATTATTAGGGCCCGGAATTGAAACGCATAGAAATATTGAAATGAATTGAAATACTCATACTGTACAGTATAACTCACTTAAAAATAAAACCAAACAATACTTGGAAAACATTTCTATCATTTCAAACACCGAGTCATTGAATGACAGGCAATGAGTTGTATTAACACACAATCAAATAAATAATTAACAAAATGTTTGCATAATTTGCTTCTCAATCACAATTGATCAGTAATTCTGGCCACCTTTGGTCGGCCTCTCTTTTTGCCCGCTATTGTCGTCGACTTCTTCTTCCGTTTATTGTCTGCGTCTGTGATCTGATCTGTCGTTTCGGTCTTTTCCATCGTATTATTGCTCGCATTTCCGAAACCGAAAGCCTTTTCTTTCAACTTTCGGCGCTTCTCTCCGATCGCGTCGTATGTCTTGTCATTCAATTCATCGCATTCTTCCGTCTCGTCATTGGCCGCAGTGTTTGTCGATGTCTTGACTGTAGTATTGCTGAACTCTTTGGCCAAGTTATACATTTGAGCTTTGGTTAACTCAAACTGATTGTCATTAATGTGATCCACATGTTTGAACTGCGGCTCTAATTGCGGGCTCTCGTCGACGATCGCCTCTTTCATGGCTCTGTATTTCTCGTGAATGTGCGACAACTCATCCAAAGGCGCCATAAGTGATGTCTAGACAAGGGATGCGAACAATGGATTAGATATTGAGTCAAATACAAGACACGCGTCCGAAGAAGTGACGGCTCACCTGAAACTGGTCGATAAGAAAGTCGGTTTTGGTTTGGGTTTCATTAGTGACACGACTGTTGCGGATAAAGAGCGGACCCATGAGTCGCGAGACGTGCACGAAATGAATGGCTCCCATAGACAACAGTTTATACCAGACATAACACACATCCAATTGATCCAATTGTTTGCACGTCTCGATGAGGTCTCGCATTTGCTGCAAATACGCGAAGTTGATCCGTATCTTCTGCGGCGCTGCCGTTTGGCCGTCGAGTTTGGGCTGTTTTGAGTACAACGAGTAGAGCAGATACAGAGCGCAGACGCGGCGCTCGAGCCGATGGTCTTCGGCCACATTCGGGAGGACTTCTAAATACATTTCGTCCACAAATTCTCGCATTTCGTTATCGTTTTGGCGGAACTTAAAGATATACGAGAAGTGCATCTCTCGCCAGATCTCACAGAAACGGGTGAACCGAAGACTCAGCACCGGTTCCGCCGTCACCTCTGTCTCTGTCTTCACTCCATTGCGTCCATCGGTTGCTGAGGACACGGGTTGGGTCTCTTCGGGCGGCTCTGAAGTGCAGAACCGATTGAACAGCGTTTCCATGTCCTGCCGAAAGCCGGCCGCTATGTATCGACAGCCCATCCCTTCTAATCAGATCTTGTGTCCAAAATGGCGGCCAATCAATGGTTGTGTCGGAAGAATGGATTCAAACGACGAGTTGTGGATTCAAATCAAGTCTTTGTTTCAGACAATCATTTCGTTTGAAAACTTTTATTTACATTTCGTTTTGTGTTAAACATTGCGATCACGTGTTAGGGCTTAATGTGAGCGCATATTCCCACTGTTTTTGTGCCCCTTTTGTTATAAATTCAATGATTTTGTGAAATAAATTGTGATTTATGTATAAAATTAACACAAATTAATCAAATGCTTGTATTTATCAAATTATGTCCGGTTTGTTAACATTTATTAATTTGTTAATAATTTTAAATGCAATTAACAATTGGGAGTATTTGAGGAAATATTGCCAGTTTTAGTGGGAGTTTATCTCACTATAAGTAACGTCTTTCCCAAACTGACACATCAACTCTTGACGTCAACTTTTCTCACTTTTACTAACTTTTTATCAAAATTATAAATTCAGGTGTAATTTATTATAATTTAATTAAATCAGACCTGAGTGACCTAAGCATTTTTAAACATAATTTTAATTGAGAACAACTGCCATGTTCATTTTAAATAACAATCCTTATGTTTTGGATTCATACAAAATATGTACCGTAGTATAATTTATGTTAATTAAATGCGAATACAAGTATAATATTTTGATTAAATTTTAATTACATTATAGTTTTGAATAAAATTTAATACTTTATTGAATTAAACTTTAAAATTAATTACAAACAATAGTTTGAGCACTTGGTTTAAAAAACATTACTTTCAACTAATAATTATATAAACACTAGATTTGTAATAATTATCATAATCTATATTACATTATATTAAATAATTTTATTG